GCCGGTAGCGACAAAAACTACAGGGAACTCTGCAAAAAACGCATCTTCGCACGGGCAGCCCGTGCGATGGCCAGTTATTCGCATTGCATTGCTGCAAAAAACGCATAAAAATTGAAAAGCAACACAATTCTTTCTTTTTTGGTTAAATGTTTAAGATTACTGTTTGCGAGACGACACCCCTGTTAAGGAAGAACTGATGTGCTTTTTGAGAGAGGCTTAAAGAAAAAGTATCTTTCGTTATTTTGTATGCCTTTAGCTTGCCTTGTTTTTTTAAACGGTTGCTGTTTCATCACTGTTTTCTCTCTCACTAACGATGCGTCTGGTAACAGTTTTCTTCATTTTTAAATTCGTTGGGTTTGTTTTCTCATTTACTGCAAATGAAAGATTTGGTTCTTTCAGATGGTGAACACGTTGTTGCATCAAGACGCGGATGCCAGACGAAGGCAGCTGTATGTGCGTACTTACAATGTCATTCCGCTACAGGTAAATTGCATCAGACTGCCGAATTATATACATTTATCAGCAGTGAAGAAGTATTCTGTTTGACAAACGGAGAGGAGGGAAAGGAAAAAAGACATATGTGGAATAAATTTAACTCCAGGAGTAGATGATGTTTTTTTTTTGTAACTCTCACAAGCGAGGGCAACAATGAGAAGAAATAATGAATTTACAGCTTTTATGATTTGACTGTAGACTTGTTCTTTGCTACATATTGCTATTATTTTTTTTTCTCGCGTCATCAGCGGTTCTTTTTTAGGATGCGGGTGGTTTGATTGAGTGGATTCCAAATCTGAATACTTTTCGAAATGTTCTCGGCCCATTAATGAAGGAGAAATGCGATAGTGTTATGAGCGAAAAGGAATGGTTCGATCGATGGGTTCCAAATGGCACCGATGAAGAGAAATTAGAAAGGCTTCGAAAGGAATACTATCCAAGGCATCCAATTGTAATGCCGGAATGGTTCAGGTATTAGCTTCATTGAGACTGCTGTTTAAGTTTTTATTGAATTTTATTTTGGGAATTGTTGAAAAGTGACTTCTTAATGAACGAAAGTTTCTTAATACTCAAAAACAGCATTACGGTTTAGCTGCGCTTGGCTCTAAAGCACTGGCTACAAGGTATTTTTAGGCAATATAGCTTTTTTTAAAAAAAAAAAAACCGACTCATTACTCAGTATTTTAAGTTTAAATTCATTAGATGTGGAATTACGAATTCAAGAAAACAAGACACTTTACCTTGGCGTTTTATTCAGCTGTTGTTTTGTCCTTGAGGGATTTTGCGTAAATGACAACTTCTTCGTGGTTGTGACGGAGGATTGCTTCACCGAGTGCGCCTACTGGTGATCCAGACATTCGTTACCCCTTCGTCTTTTGTTCTTCGGAAAAGAAATGTTGCATATATGTTTTACTCATAACGGCTGTTTTTCGTAAAGTGAATTACTCGAAGAGTTGACATACAGAATTTACTGCAGATAATAGATTAAGAGATACTGGAAAAAATGCCCAGATGCAGCAACAGGTTTTCAGGATAGGCAAAGAACTTTTTTTTTTGTTAGATCTGGTATTTTTAATAACTCGAGTAAACGAAGTTCTTGCAGGCGCACTTTCCCAGATCCATGTCGCTGGTATGCAGCTCGTTTGGCATTTACTCATACATCAGCAGTGATAAGCATGATTGGTTTCATTCTTGGACTTGGCGATCGACATGGCGAGAATTTGCTGATCGACGTTAACAACGGTGATGCGATACACGTGGATTTCAATTTGCTTTTCAATAAGGGGGAAAATTTGAATGTCCCAGAGGTAAATTCGCTCAGAAAGTTCATTAACCTAAAAGCAGTGCTGTTAATTCAGAAACTGTTATTTCTTTTACTTTCCCAAAGAATTTTCTTCTGAACTATGTGTGTTTCTGCATAAAGAACTTTCGAAAAACACACAGTCTGGTGAACACTGCTCGCTATTGAAGTTTGGGCTCTCTCGAACAGACCTGCCGTATCAAGAAGAGCTGTCTTGTTGTGCTTGGCGTGTAACTGCTTCTCGGTAAAATCAAAGGATCCACGGTAATATCCTAGTGATTTTGAAATCTTAGCCGTTTTTTAATGCGATCATCTACACAGGTTGTGCCATTTCGACTAACGCGTAATATTGTTGCTGGTTTTGGTGCCACTGGTGTCGAAGGTGCTTTTCGCCGTGCATGCGAAACGACGTTACGCGTACTTCGTGAGCATGACGAAGCGCTTAATACTGTTCTTCAGACATTTGTACATGATCCTCTCCTGGAGTGGATGCATAGTGAGAGCAGAGCTCAACAGTATAAACAGGTTTCTTACGAAATTTGCACTTTTTGTTTCATTGTGGACCCTGCCTGAGTTGAAATTTTAACTAGTTTATTTGGTGTTGATAATTGAGGAATTTTATTTTTTATTGGGTTCAGTTGGAAAGAAAATCAGGATTTTTGCTGTTTTTGTTAATTTTTTTTTGGATGAAACTGCAACCTCAATCAGATTGATTATTTTTCCTCTCTTTCTTTTTCAGCAATTTTAATTTTTCAGCGACAAGGCACCGGTACAAAACTGACACCTCCAGCTGCGCAACAACAGGCCCAAGAAGTCATTGATATGATTCGCTTGCGTTTATCTGGTACCATTTTGTGAAATTATTGATTTTTCATCATAATTCCTTGCTTTTATTTTCGATAGCACTCAATATTACACCTAATCAGAGCCTTTCGAACTCTTCAGCATTACCCCAAGGCGTTAAGAATTGTGATGTTTTCTTCGAAGATTTACAAGGGAAGATAGTACGGGGGTTATCGATTTCTTGTCGGACCGGATTTTTTTTTTCAAATCTTTTAGCGTTGATGAGTTTTCATATCCCTTATTGGGACCCCTGTTAATGGCCAGCTTCTGCTAACAAAATAATTGGTCAACGCACGGGCTGTCCGTGCGAAGATGCTTTTTTTACTTAGTTCCCCGCAATTTTTGTTGCTACCGGCACCGGTTTTTTGGCAAATGTTTCTAGCTAAACAAATTAAGACTGGCCGCCAGGACTGGCAGAAAACACCCCATAAAATTTCAGCTTTCTAGTTTTCCTGGCTCCTGAGTTAGCAACTTACTGGAAAAAAACTT